TAAGGTTGGTCCATACTCTCAGAATTTTCTGTCAAACTGATAATTTTTTAATTTGAATACCTTGAATAAGTCTTAAACTAAATAAAACACCCATAAAAGACATATCTTTGCAGGTTAATTTTCATACAACATGCCTCAGCGCAAATACCTCTAAAAATTCAAGAGCCAAAATGGAACATAAAGAAGTGTGATATCATATTTTATTTAGTTATGCACCAAATCACATCAAATTTATGTCAAAACTTATGAAAATCAAACATATTCATTTGCCAAGAGAATATTTGAAATCTTTATTGCAAAACATTAACAAATTGACGTTGAGTCTACCCATGTCCTTCAAAAAAAATCTCAAAATCTCTTTAGTTTTTATAATTCTCAAAATCTTAACTGTTTAGATGCCATTTTTTCTTTAAAACTATTAAGAATTATACCTAAAGTTAACAAAAACACATACTTTATTACGATTGACCAGAGAATTTTAACAAAATTATCTTTTGAAGACGTATACCCCCATTTTTGGAATATCAGTTTTTTCAATTGTTCATTGCAAAATTAAAAAAAAAAGCAAAACTTAAATGGATGATATAGACTTAAAATCAATAAAGATAAAAATCAATAAAAATAGATCTCAAGTGAGTTTGCTTAAAAGAAAATTAAAAAGCTTTTGGTCCATAAAGGCAACTAAGAATTTTGTGTCTGTGTATGTACCAAATGATATATGGATCCTATGGACAGAGTGCAAAGTGTTAGTTTCCATTAATAAGGTATATATTAGATGCTTTGTATGTACAATTACACTATAGTAAACAAGTATATACTTGCTAAACATTTTCAATCACCCAAAAAGATTTTATTTCAATGGACAAGTGATAATCAGAATTTTATATTGATGTGTAAAATTAAAACCGGATCCGTAAAAGTATGGGCCTTCCTTAAATTGAATCATTTTTGATTTTAATTGTATTTTAATTCTTTTTTAATTTTTATTCTTTGACTATTAGGAAGATGAAATAATGAATGTCAATATAGAAATTACTAGTAATGATTATTGAATAATATTATATAATTTCATATCTGGAGTTCATTTAAAAAGTTATCGTAAAACATAGTGAGAAGTTTGAATGTAAATCTTAAGAATTAAAAGCATTGCAAATTTTTTTTTTATAAATAATTAATTTTATTACCTTTTCCATGAGTTCCAAATTTGTGGCTTTTCTGATGACCCAGGAGACTAAGCTTTCCTACAAAATAAGTTTAACCACAGTATCAACAAAGGATTTCAGACATACGTTTTACAACAAAACTTACATCTGATATTTTTCCCTTTACATCTATTTTGTATGTAAAATATCTTACTGAATTAAGCATAAGAAAACTTTGAAAACAAAATATTAAAATAACTTCAAATTTGTAAATTTAAACAATATGTATACTGGATGGAAAATAGGCTCCTGACCAGTTTATCTGGGATGAGTCTGATGACATAAGGTATGATGCTGTCCTTCAGAATTCCTAGTATCTCTACAGCTCTCACTTTCTCTGGTATGTAGGACAGAAAGGCATCCACAACACCAGGCTTCAGGATTCTCTCCCACTCAGACTACAAAACAACACTCAGACTACAAAACACCATCTCAATAATAATGTCCAGTATCTCTACAGCCCTCACTTTCTCTGATATATAGGACAGGAAGGCATCTACAACACCAGGCTTCAGGATTCTCTCCCACTCAGACTACAAAACAACATCTAAACAAGAGATGTTTGTAAAACACTTATGCCCCCCCCCCCCTTCCCCACAAATTGGAATTTTTCTAAGTCCAAAAGGGCATAACTCTGTCAAAAATGGTGTAATTATACCCAAAACATAACTTGACCTAGATATTCGTCTGATTGATTTGAATACTAAATTCCATTTCAATTTGTGCAACTTCTCAAAAGAAAATGAATGGAAACTGCAAATAATAGGAATTTTTCTAAGTCCAAGGGGCATAACTCTGTCAATTATGGTGAGATCATACCCAAAACAGAACTTAACTTAGATATTCATCTGACTAATCTGTATACTAAATTCCATTTCAATATGTGCAACCTCTCAAAAGGAAATGAACGGAAACTGCAAAAATATGGAATTTTTCTAAGTCCAAGGGGCATAACTCTGTCAATTATGGTGCGATCGTACCCAAAACAGAACTTGACCTAGATATTCATCTGACTAATCTGTATACTAAATTCCATTTCAATATGTGCAACCTTTCAAAAGGAAATGAACGGAAACTGCAAAAATATGGAATTTTTCTAAGTCCAAGGGGCATAACTCTGTCAATTATGGTGCGATCGTACCCAAAACAGAACTTGGCCTAGATATTCATCTGACTAATCTGTATACTAAATTCCATTTCAATATGTGCAACCTCTCCAAAGAAAATGAACGGAAACTGCAAATAATTGGATTTTTTCCAAGTCCAAGGGGCATAACTCTGTCAATTATGGTGTGATCGTACCCAAAACAGAACTTGACCTAGATTTTCATCTGATATACCTGTATACCAAATTTCATTTCAGTATGTGCAACGGTTATGAAGAAAATGAACGGAAACTAAATGGACCGACAGACCGACAGACCGACCGACCGACCGACCGACAGACAGCAGCAAAGCAATATGCCCTCCCTTCTTCGAAGGGGGGCATAATAATAATGTACAGTATCTCTACAGCTTTCACTTTCTCTGGTATATAAGATGGAAAATCCCACACTAAGATTCCCCTAATTTATCTGATGCTGGACCCAGATGGTGAGTCCCACACTAAGATTCCCCTAATTTACCTGATGCTGGACCCAGATGGTGAGTTCCACACTAAGATTCCCCTAATTTACCTGATGCTGGACCCAGATGGTGAGTCCCACACTAAGATTCCCCTAATTTATCTGATGCAGGACCCAGATGGTCAGTCCCACACTAAGATTTCCCTAATTTACCTGATGTAGGACCCAGATGGTGAGTCCTACACTAAGATGCCCCTAATTTACCTGATGTATGACCCAGATGGTGAGTCCCACACTAAGATTCCCCTAATTTAACTGATGTATGACCCTTATGTTGAGTCCCACACTAAGATTTCCCTAATTTACCTGCTGCAGGACCCAGATGGTGAGTCCCACACTAAGATTCCCCTAATTTACTTGATGCTGGACCCAGATGGTGAGTCTCACACTAAGATTTCCCTAATTTACCTGATGTAGGACCCAGATGGTGAGTCCCACACTAAGATTCCCCTAATTTACCTGATGCTGGATGCAGATGGTGAGTCCCACACTAAGATTCCCCTAATTTACCTGATGCTGGATGCAGATGGTGAGTCCCACACTAAGATTTCCCTAATTTACCTGATGCTGGACCCAGATGGTGAGTCCCACACTAAGATTCCCCTAATTTACCTGACGTAAGACCCAGATGGTGAGTCCCACACTAAGATTCCCCTAATTTACCTGATGTAAGACCAAGATGGTGAGTCCCACACTAAGATTCCCCTAATTTACCTGATGCTGGACCCAGATGGTGGGTCCTACACTAAGATTCCCCTAATTTACCTGATGCTGGACCCAGACAGTGAGCCCCACACTAAGATATCCCTAATTTACCTGATGTATGACCCAGATGGTGAATCCCACACTAAAATTCCCCTAATTTACCTGATGCTGGATCCACTAAGATTCCCCTAATTTACCTGATGTAGGATCCAGATGGTGAGTCCCACACTAAGATTCCCCTAATTTACCTGATGCTGGACCCAGATGGTGAGTCCCACACTAGGATTCCCATAATTTACCTGATGTAGGATCCAGATGGTGAGTCCCACACTTTCCCCTAATTTAACTGATGCTGGACCCAGATGGTGAGTCCCACACTAAGATTCCCCCTAATTTACCTGATGCTGGACCCAGATGGTTAGTCCCACACTAAGATTCCCCTAATTTACCTGATGCTGGACCCAGATGGTGAGACCCACACTAAGATTCCCCATCCTCATGTTGTGTTGGGCCTCCTCTAGTAGATCAGCCTTTCTGAAATGGTCCCAGTTCTCAGCACTAAAAAAAGAAAATAAAAACTCTACATCTGTATGTTGTATTTTTTTTTTAGGATAGCGTACCATTAATTATAAAACGTAAAGTTCATCTTATTTTCATTAAGTACCTGTACTGATTAGAGCTGTATGCCATATGATAGGTGTTCAATCTTCTGGAGATTTCATTCAACTGGAGCAAAAAAAATTGTATTCAAAATTCTTTCTCTGTTAATAATTCCTTTTTCATCATTTATTTGGTACCTTTTTTTAAACCATTCCAACTTCTCATTTTAAAACAGCTCTCCATAATTACCTTGGTGATCAAACTGTGCTGCTTTTTCTTGCCTTTGGAATCTAATTTCTGCTCTGGAAATTCCATCAACTATGGAAATAAAAAAATTAGGGATGTCAACGAATATTCGAGTACTCGACTATCGTTCGATCATACCCACTATCGACTAAAATTTCTTTAGTCCATTATTCGTTAAAAATCAAAGTAATTTTGAATTCAAGGCAATAAACTTATACTGGCCCATTTCATTTATTTACAGATCAATATTTTCAAATGTAAAATTAAGGGTATGGTATAACTGTTCAAAGGAAATTATTTGTACGTCGATGTATGTTCGAGAAACATGTCATCAAAATCTACAGTTTTGGTATAGCTTTAAAAAAGGTAAACAGTGTTATCAAGGTTACGTGAAACAGTGTAACATCAAACATGATGTAAGTCAAACATATGTATGCACAGTCTTCAAGTTAAGTACTCAAAAAAAAAAACAGATTGGGAAGGAAAATGTTTATATTATATATGATTGTCTACCTCTTACTGTTTTAAATGGAGACGACATAAGCCATGTATTTGTTTAGTTTTGTAGATTCAAACTAAAACTGACGTGATACAACTATCCAGAAAGAATATTTTAAACTAGAGCAAAGCTCGTTGCAAAGCAACGAGTGGGTCTTCCTTCTTAGCGATGAGCAGAAAGTGAAATGTTTCAACTGTCAATTTTGGTACCATTCTTTATTTCTTTGACCCAAATAGCAAACCCTTTCTTAAAGTCTGAATGTGGAGTGAGCACGAGGATAAATAATCCAATGGTAATCACTCCAACAGCATTGAAACTGTATCCAAAAATTCATTCTCCCTCATATTTTAACTTTGATTTGTAGGCATATATCATCTTTGATACAATCATGTTAGTGAAGTATGGCATACTAGAGAAATATCAGTGTTTTGATACATCCCCTCTTAAAATTTGCTTTAAGAACATTAATTTTACACAGAATAATTAGATAGTGAGTAAACCCAATGTGTAACTGATAAACTATCTTCATTTTTTGTCAATCAGTTAGAAGACCAATACTTTTACAAGAAATACATAGGAATGTGATGTGTGTGTCTAATTTGCAGCCCTCCACTGGCAAATGGTGGTATCTCAATAGGAGTGTAGTAAAATTCTCTGAATAGGACATTCAACAAAGAGATCTTTTGACATTCAACAAACAGATCTCCTTTTGAAAGCACTGCCCTTCATATAAACAAATTTTATCCCCCTACACTAAAGAATTCTCTGTGCCAAGTGGAAAATGGAATTCTGAAGAATTTAAGATAAAGATGATAAAGGGTGAATTTTAATTCTAAAAAATTTACTACGGCTTTAGCTTACTGTAACATATTACATTTAGCGATGTAGTCTATTTAGCGATTTTGGCGGAAAGCAGAGTCCACTAATTCAAGTACATCGGTAAATGTCTTGTATATTAACTTTTATAAATAGCAACTTCAGACAGCGCTAAATCAAATCTACGCTAACTTACTGAAAATTGAATTTCCGCCAAATATCATACACGCCAAATGTAATACATTAACAGTATATGAGCAAAACTGTGATTGTTGACTTTGAAATGGGACTGGACATCTCTTTGATCTTGTTTGAAACAACATGTGCATGTCCTTTGTGCTGAATCATGCACAAATGTTAATGCTTAAGTTAAAAATGCAAAAATAAGTGCAAAAATAACAACTTTCCTTCTATTATAATGAAAAAATACACATATTAGATCTTATATATTACTGCTGAAGACAGACCTTTATCATCTTCACCATTAGAATTGGTATGTCTTCCCTTGGAAACGGAAGACCTCAATACAGATGTAAACATGCAAGATCTGACACACATTTAAAAAGAACATTTATTCCAAACTAAACATAGATTCTGTAACAAAATCTATTTCTCTTGAAAAAGTGAAAGCAATAATTGATATATTAATATTTGTGGATTCATGTCTGTTTCTCAAATCAAAATTTAATATGGTATATTTAAAGACATCTTCTTAAACTAAGACTTGACAGTTTCAATTTCATTATGCTGTTTATTCTCTGTCATCTCCCATTATATGCTCTTCTCAGTCTTCTGGCAAATCATGGCCATGCTTGGCATCAAATTTCAGTACTCAGATGACAGTCACATCTATCAAAAAGAAATTGAAAATTTTTTATTGAACTTTTTTTTTTTAAAGTGCAACTTATAAGATACTGTCACATTTTCTGCATGTGTATTATTTGTAAAACTACCCTATAATTATTTATGAATATAGGTTTACAGGCAGTCATTTGAGGATGTAATGAAAAAACATATTAGTTTTTCATGATTTCAAATAAAGGAAATGTACATTACATGTACTTGTTCATGTTAAAATTTATTAGGAATGGTAATGGTTAACAGTTGTTAACCGACTAATCAGTCAGAAAGGTGGTACATGTACATCCGGTTATGATTTTTTATGTGTCAGGATAAGGCCATTTGTAAAGGTGTTACAGCATATTAGGAACAATGTACTAATGAAGTCACAAAACACTATCACATAAGGAACAATGAGCTAGTGCAAACTAACAATGTGGCTCATTTAAAACACCATGATACAAGGTCTATGACAACATGCTAGCTGGTTTAAGACACTTACATGCTAGCGTGAAGTTAAATGCGCTACCACACTTCTGACAGTGGGCTAGTGTGTTTCAAGGACAACACGGTGACAATGTACTTGTGCGTTTGTAACAATGCTTCAGCAGGCTGTTTACACCACGCCGTCAAGCTTAGACATAATAGATTGTGTAAAGTTGTGTTAACATGGCAACGTTTTGTGTCGTCACAACTGCATGTTGTTTTAAGTTGCCTTAGCCTGACAGTGTTGAGAACACTGTATTAGCACATTGTTCCTAGCTAACACGCTGTTACACTTTTACAAGTTGCCTTATCGGGACACCGGAATTTTCATAACTGCATCAAACCTAAGACAAAAACATATACACAGTAATGTTCCTTAACCATGAACCCAGCATTTGAAGTGAATGAGACCTTAAAAACCTCACAGTACATGTTTACTTAGGACAATGACCCTGAGTTCCAAATAAAGGACTAAGTTGAAGCTTTACACCAGTATATATTACATCTATAAATGAGTGAATGAGTGAAAATTCTCAAATAACATTATCAATCAAAGTATCAATAAGAAGCTTATACTTAGGTCGCAGGTTCAAATCCCATTGCGAAATGCTTGAGCCAGGTTACTCCGATGAGACTGTATAAATTAACCGAGATTCTGTGTCACAGTATGTGTTGGCATAAAAAAAAATCCCTTACTTCTCAAAGGCAATAAGTGCTGAGTACAAGTCTATATTTGCAGCTTACTATCCCAAGTAGTGGCATCATAAAATGACTGAAAAAATTTTGAAAGGCCAATAAACAAACAAACCATTCTTGCATTCTTATCACATAAAAAAAGCAAACTTTTTATTACAATTTTTTTAATAAATTTCTTTTGCAATTTAACTGAACAACATTTGTGCCATTTTTTGTCAATAAATTATGATACTAAACACTTTATTTGAACAGCTACAGGTATTTATAGTTGCCCGCCTGGCATAGTGGTTAGAGCATCTGCTCTAGAGTTGTGAAGTTAGGAGTCAATCCTTACGTCGCGGGTTCGAATCCCACTGTGGGACGTGGAGACCGGTCCTTCGGATGAGACCGTATAAACAGAGGTCCTGTGTCACAGTAGGTGTTGGCACGATAAAAAGATCCCTCCCTGCTTGGTGGCCCTGAGTGCTGAGCATAGGACTAAAATTTGCAGCTCTCCACCGGCAATTGGTGGCGTCTCTATATGAGTGAAAAATTCTTGAGAGGGACGTTAAACATTATACAATCAATCAATCAATTATAGCGAGCACGAAGCGCTGCTCATAATGCGAGCTTATATGACAACGCCAGTTGGCAAAGAGAAAATTATGACTTGCACATTAATCCACACAAATTTTTTTCTGCAGTAAGGCCAGCATTTTTTTATTTTTAGGTTTACAAACCCGCCGCTCAAGTTTTTGCATTTTCAGAAAAAAAATAAAATTGAGAAAAACAGAATTTTTTCTTTCCGATGTCAAATTTGAGTCGGGATCGAGATTTCAAATTTACGAACTCGTACTTCTGGTTTTAAATGAACATGGCGGGTTGAAGGGAGATTTGTGTCAAGTCCATAGCAGCACTAAAGCTTGATTTAATGTAAATATTTATCGGTAGGAGTGCCATTCAAAACGTTTCACCCGTTCAGAGAACAATAAAATGCTGACGACTTTGTTGCAAAGTGACATGTTGGTGAGATAATTATGTATCCGTATTCAAAAGTAACTGTGTCTGTAATTGTAAATTATTTTCCTCCCACAGGTTTAAAACTGCCCATGGTAGCTATTGTCAGAGACATTGTTTATGTTTCTGTCATAGCTTACAGTCTTAGCATCATTCTTCAGAAAAGGGTCGCTTATGCATCAGATGTAATGAATAAAACTATGGGAGAAGTTAAATCCATTTGAGGAAGAAATAAACAATAGCCTACAGAAATGAAATATTTCAACTATTTAAAAACAAGAATATACAAATATATACAGGCATATAGTTTCGGTTATGGCGGCCAGAAAAATTATTTTACACTTAATTGAAAAAAATTCCACCCTACTCCTCAATACTCCTTGGGAATACTCCCTGTCTGTTTTATGAAAGGAATTATTACTTTTCTAGGTCTAGAGTAAATTAATATTTTAGATTAATTTCTACCTAACACACATTAAAAACAAAAATGAAGATATATTAAAAGAGATTTAAAAAATCTGTATTTTGTCCAACATCAAAAGATTTACATCACTGCCCCCAACTGGTAGATGATGAAATAAACAATTAAAGGTTGTATTTTCCCCTTTGCAACCCTTATGTGTCCAGTGGCAAGAAACCTGTTAGGAGAGCATAAAAAAGAAGCAAAAATTAATGTAGAAAAGTCGATAATGTATCCAAAATATAATTTTATTTTTTTTTTTATTTCCTCCTCCTACAGGACTTTTTCATTCTGATGTTCGTAAACCTAAAAATAAAAAAAATGCTGGCCTAACTTTGGACTCCCAATACTTTGCTTCTTTAACATGTTAAAGCTACATTCTTGCAAGATCATGACCAAAAGTTTCCAAAAAAGAAGTTCACCTTGATTTAATGGTTAAATTACAGATAAATAGTGAAAATAAACATTCTTCCTTCAAGTCAGCACTTTTAAAGCTTTAGACTGCTAATGTAAGCCTAACTTACACTGCGACGTCATGTGACTTCAAAGTCTAGTGCCCTGTTCACACGAAGAGTTTAATTCACAGTAAATTATCGCGAAGTAAACTAATGCGAATTAAACTGTGTTTACATGACAGGTAATGCAAAGCAGACCTGTTTACCCATAACGTTGTCTCTCAGTATTTTTCTTAAGATTTGTCCGTGAGATTTGGCATTTGCCAGTAAGATTTCACTTTCCATCAATTTTACATATATTAAGAGAAAAACTGCTTTTCTGGCTACTAAAACATTGTTTAACAACAAGGTCATTTTATAATACCATTTGTAGCGTTTTGGCAACCTGATATCGCTTTAGGTGTTTGAAATCTTTCTCTTATTTAGCGATAAATAAAGTAAATCTACGACAGATCATAACGAAAACTAACTGTTAAATTCCAAACTAACTTGTTTCTGATTTCCGTATTTTCATAATGGCAAAACGTGAGACGTATTTTAGACTAAAAATCCGTAAAAAATACGGCGAAATCGTAAGAGTAAACAGGTCTGGCAAAGTAAACAAATGCAAATTAAAAATTTTACTTCTACAGTCAGGCGTCAGTAAGGCTTTTATGACATCATTTACAAATCATGTCATCTTAAGCAGAAGCAGATGTATTTGACATAATATCACAGTGTCTCTAGAAACATTCTAGTGATTAACACTGTTTTCCTTAGTTTTTCACTCAAAATTACCACAAGTACTTAAAACTGACCATAAACATGTAGCATTTGACTTAATTTTGCCATATTACGCATGCCTCAAAATTTGATTCGAATTAGCTTTCCTTAGTGTTCACACAAAGCTAATGCGAAGTAATTTAATGCGCAGTAAATTATTTCGATCGAATTAAACTTACTTGAACTAAACTCTCGGTGTGAACAGGGCATTGATGCACCAAATGTCAAGTCCAGTTTGAAAAACCTGAGCCAAATTTAAACTGAATAAGTATATGACCTCACCCTAACCAGTCTAGTCGAACCCTCAAACGGGGGTAAACGGAAGGAGGAAAACCGTACCCTCAAACGGGGGTATGGCGCATGCGCAGACACTAAAAAAGTGCCGTTTTCACGGAAAAACGTGTGGTCCACAAAATATGCTCGTGCAAAGTGATGGATTATTTCGTAGCTCTGTATGTACTCAAATTTGGTAGATTAAAGATGTTTAAAGAGATTGTATTGTGAAAAAGTATATGTTTATTGCAAAAATCGAGACTTTTTCTCTTCCAAAGTTAGCATATTCTGTGCCTTGACCTCCATGCTTGATACAACTAGATTTTTTATTCATAATTTAATAAAACGGATGAATAAACAAAAAATCATTTGCTTAAAGTTTAACTACATATAATTCCCTTCCCCGGTATTAAAAATCTTGTGTATTTAGCATGTTATTTATTATTTTTCTACACTTTCTTGTGTGCATGTCCGAATTTCCTCTGTCCTGTAAACAAACTTTTGTGCCTCAGAAATGACGTAAATAAAAACGAAAACATTTTTATTTTTTTTTTTTAATTGAAAACAAAGGTGTAGACAATTCATTTTTGTATGTTTATGATTTTTTTAAAAAAATTATTTTTTAAATAAGAAGAGTTATCGTTATTCCGCTTTCGTGCGTTGCATTTAGGGAAGGAAAACCCTCGTTTGAGGGTATACCCCCGTTTGAGGGTTCGACTAGACTGCTAACAGTCGCAACATTAACATATTAGTTGAAGAATATACACTGTAACAATAAGTGTAATGTGAATTAAAGTATGACTTTGAATGCGAGTCTTGTTGAAATTACATGATCACATATATTTAAATAAAATATAAAGCTGTCTGGATTTTAAATGGTTAATAGAGAGCGTCTGAACTGTAAACAAACAATATATCGGTGAGTCTGTGTATTAAAGTATTTCTAAAAAAAATCAAAGATCTAAGCTGCCATCAACTGGCCATAGTATTGTAAATTTTAGGTTAAAAAATTCTTACCTTCATTCCCATGGTCCACGCCAATCATACATTAAATGTCACCGTCAACTCTTTCATCACTCGATACATTTATCACTGGGAACTCCGAAACAGAATCAAGAGTGTTCATCATAATAGGACAGTCGGGATTTCCTCGTAAACAATTCACACAAGAAATTGTAAATCGGATAATTCTGCTTGGAATAATGCTCCAGAGGACTGATAAAATACTTCGTAGCTGCAGATTAAATGTGCGTGCATGTCTACATACGGCTTGTATGGTGAAAAAATTTTCAACTTCACATCATTTCTCGATTTCAGTTTGAGTTTGTAAACAAAACATGTGTCCGGTTTCGATGGGACGCACTAAAAACCGGATATACTAAAGACCTGATATTTACCTAATGTTTTTATCTTACATAAAGTGATTTTGAATATTTACTGACAATTATGAATCAGGTCAAATCATGTTTTTAGTACATCGCGTCTTAGAACCTTCACATTTCCCACAATGCCGCGCGTTGTTTACAAGCAAAAGACCCCGAAAAAAAATCCTCTAAACTAATTATTGTTGTGTACATCACCATATTTTTAATTATTTGAATAAAAAGAAAACAGAAAAACACCGAATCAAAACTATATCTTTCAGATGCATCAACTAATACAGTACACATGCTGTAAAGGCTTGGCTAGTTATAGTGGACAACTTGTTCCTGAAAGGTTTCTCACATATTTGTTTTATAAAAAACAATTAAATATAGCTTGAAGTTTATTTCTTTTTATATCAAATGGCAAGATTTAATAAGTTCGAAATTATTTCAGTCAAACATTTTCATAATATACCAATATTTTTAGCTATCAGAAAAAAACGTGTATGAGCTATTAACCCCTAATTATAGGGGCCAGCCCCTTTTCCTTGATCTTATATGAAAGCTCTTGTAATTACGCACAACTTTTGTTATATATTTCTTACCAAATTATTTTCGGTTCAGAAGTTATTACACAAAAAGAAGCAAAATTTCAAGGAAAAAAAGATGCTAAAATTTGCCGTCACATAGCTTCCGAGCTTTAAGAAATCAGCTTATAATTTTATCGTTCTGCACATCTACAATGTATTGGCTACAAGTTCTCCAACTTTCATGGAAATATCATGTGTCCTTCCTGAGATTTTTAGTGGAAACGAGACATCAAAAATTATCAATTAAAGGGCAATAACTCACAAAGAAAGGCATGTATCAAAAAATTGTAAACAGGTATAAATAGGTGTATACACAAGGTATCTAACCTGAAAGTTTCATAAAAATCGGTCGAAAGGTCTTTGAGAAATCGCCTGTCAAAAATCGAGCGGGAAAAAAAAAAAGAATAATAAGAAACAATAGAATAACAGTAGGGTCTTCCGAAGGAAGCGGAAGACCCTAATTAAACGGCTATTACAAAATTGTAAATACATGTAAATTGGGGTCAGTTATGAGAGTAATTAAACCGTGTCTTCTTTTTCTGATATTTATTTCATACAATCATTTATTGTTTGCATAAATTTTTATAATTAAAATTTATCCCAAGCTCTTGCTCTCTCTTTGTTTTCATAAGAGCCACGCTCTAATTGTTTACCTGTCAAAGATCATTGATGGACACGTAGAAATTGGCTTCAATTATCGGGTACATGTGTACACTACTGTTATGTAATGAAAGGACAAATACGGGCGTTTGATATCCTACATTTAGATAAAATGTGAATCTTATATATTTATTTTGAAATTAAATACATTGGATACATATTGATGAACAGTATTTATAATTGTACTATGTACATGTTTACAATTAAGAAATTCGTTGTATAATGGTGATAGCGTAGATTAAATACCGGACATTGTAAACTAGTCTGTAAAAGACAAACAATGAAAATGATATGAAAAAATAATTAAAATTAAACGAATATTCGACTATCGTTCGACTAAAGCATCCGACTATTCGACTAAGCTGTCCGAGTAAAATTGACATCCCTAAAAAAAATTGAACAATTATTCAAACATTTCTAACCTTAATTTCAATTTTTTTTTTCCAGTTTGCAATGTGTAATTTCTACAATTGTAAAACTGTTGTTAGAAGATTTTTAATCAAAGTTAAAGAGAAACTTTACACATAATGTTCTTTGTTTCTCCTCCCAAATTTATTTTTAATTTTAGGATTTTTTTTGTTTTTCTTTTTTTTCTGGGAAGGGGGGTGGGTGGGTTGATAAACATGCATTTGTTAGGTAAATGTTTTCATTAAAGACCCTCACCATTTTCCTGCAGTGCTCCAACATCTGTTGTGTGAGGACCAGTGTAGGGAGGGCTGAGTTCATACAGTTCTCTATCAGCTCTAAATCATCCTGAAACATTCAAACACACAGTATAACTTCATGACAGAGCTGTAAAGACTGAAAACAAATTTAACTCTAGTACTCATTTGTCCTTTATTTCTATACATTTATTAACATTTCATAACATAGGACATAAGACCCAGAAAATTTTAAGAGCAAAATTTAAGAGCAATATTTACAGATCAAGTTCTATTTAAACCATTTTAAAACTTGATTTGTGTCTATTTGTGTCATTCATTACAAAGCAGCATAATTTAGCACCATATACAGCGTATTAACAAGATAAAAGTCTGATACAGCACATATTTTTACTACTTTTACAGATAGGCATAAATGTGATGCACAAAGAGAGAGGCACCTGTCAATATATGCATACATGACTCTATATACCAGAAATGAACAAAGAATATAAATGTATCTTAGAAACCTAACCTTGACAAACTGTAGACATTCCCAGAGTTGTTGTATAAGGTCATTAGTGGTCTCTTCTCTATATTTCTTCATATTCCAGGGAGACAACTGCTCCAGCAGGTAATTCACTTTTACTTTGTATACATGCTAAAACAAAAAGGGAGGAATGCCACATGATATAATAAATTATAAGAGTTTTGCTAAACTTTTGTATGATAGGCAGTCATACACTTACATCAATTTCTAAATGATACATCTTGGCAAACAGCACTGCTTCTTCAAATTTCTTTTTGGAGAGGATATGATATAGTCTGAAGTAAAATAAATTCAATGATAAATAACTAACAACAAACAAATTTGTGAGGAATCACACAAAAATCTTTTAAGTGCATGTAGCCATTACATACAAGCAGAGTGGCCAAAGCTGAAGAGCTAGCATTATGGAAATTTATAACAAAAACTCTATTTATTTCATATCTTTAAAAACTTCACTCATTTCCTATAGTTACCTGGTTTCTGGATTGGTCTCAGTCAGACAACGGAATCTTACTGTTGACACCAGATTGGGACATCTAAACACAGATTGTAACTGACATTAATGAAATCCTAGGTATCTCATATTTCAAGTGAAATTGATAAACCTATGAATAATTGAATACGATGAAATGCACAAACACTTACTCTACATCAGGGCAACACTCCACTACAAATAAATATTCCTGAAAGAAAATACATTCAATATTTATTATGAAGCTTAAGCACATGTAACAAGCATTTATTTATTTCTTAACCAAACAGTCTTAAACCAAGCTTTTTTTTTCCAAAAAAGTTTATTAACAAATCATTCGTAAACATCTTCATTCCCTTTAATCAAATCCACTTCACCATACTGATCAACAAATTTTAAGAGACAAAACATAACAAGGAACTGTGTTGAATAATAAAATAACCTGTGGAGATTTGATATAAAAATAACCTTACCTGTGAAGATTTAAAATTTACCTGTGAACATCTGATACATAATAACCTCACCTGTGAACATCTGATACATAATAACCTTACCTGTGAAGACCTGATACACAATAACCTCAACTGTGAAGATCTGATACACAATAACCTTACCTGTGAAGATCTGATACACAATAACCTTACTTGTGAAGATCTGATACATAATAACCTTACTTGTGAAGATCTGATACATAATAACCTTACTTGTGAAGATCTGATACATAATAACCTTACTTGTGAAGATCTGATACATAAGACATCACCTGTGAAGATCTGATACATAATAACCTTACTTGTGAAGATCTGATACATAATAACCTTACTTGTGAAGATCTGATACATAATAACATCACCTGTGAACATCTGATACATAATAACCTCACCTGTGAAGATCTGATACACAATAACATCACCTGTGAACATCTGATACATAATTAACTTACCTGTGATGATCTGATACATAATAACCTCACCTGTGAAGATCTGATACATAATAACCTCACCTGTGAAGATCTGATACATAATAACATCACCTGTGAACATCTGATACACAATAACCTTACCTGTGAAGATCTGATACATAATAACCTTACCTGTGAACATCTGATACATAATAACCTTACCTGTGAACATCTGATACATAATAACCTGTGAACATCTGATACATAATAAACTTAGCTGTGAACATCTGATACATAATAACCTGTGAACATCTGATACGTAATAACCTTAGCTGTGAACATCTGATACACAATAATGTTACCTGTGAACATCTGATACATTCTAAGCTTACCTGTGAACATCTGATACATAATAACCTTACCTGTGAACATCTGATACATAATAACCTTACCTGTGAACATCTGATACATAATAACCTTACCTGTGAACATCTGATACATAATAACCTTACCTGTGAACATCTGATACATAATAACCTTACCTGTGAGGGCAGACAGTCTGAGATGAAGCAGGGGGCATTCAGCTGTAAGTTGTAGATATTCTCAAAGTTTGGCAGACTCTGGATCCTGAGTGTACTGTGGCCTTCTACTGGTGTGGTGATCAGAGCTAGCCGCAGGTCCTGTAACCTGGAATGTTATAATAAAGCATTGAAAAAAAAATTAAGTGTTCTTCAGCTCTAATTCTAGTCAAATTGAATACAAAAGGCCCACAGACATTTTGACACAAGTGATAAACTTCTCTTATGGAATAATGTACACCTGATTTTATGCATATGGTTTTGGGTATACCTTTATATTTTAATTGTGTTAAGAACTAAAATTATGAAAACCGTGTAGGACAGACTGAGGGACTAATAATACATAACTCTGAGTTTTGCATTTTTTACGCCCAGATTCTAAACTTTCACCATACTTACCCCTGATTCTGAACTTCTCTTGTTTCTAATAATTGAAACTCCTGAACTTTGACCTCTGTCCACTGATTCAGAAGAAACCAGGCCTGGGTGCTCCATAGACACAAATTACCCTAAAAACAAAAACAATCATAAAAAACAATCTGTACTTGTTTATATGACCCATTGTCACTGATAGATATCAAACATATACATGTACCTTTGTATCCAGTGAGAATAAGAAATTTCCATCACTTGTGACTTTTCCTTGAACAATTCCAGAGGCTGAAATTAGAACTGTTGGATTTACAGTTTCCATAAAATTAAAATAAAAATTATAATTAATTTATACATGCTGTTATTATTTTCATGATGTGATGAGTATTTTATAAAACATGCATGTGTATTTTACATTAAATACAGTAATCTAGAACTGTGATTAAGTAATCTCCAACTTTTACCTGAGATAAAGTATTCTCCAACTTTTACTTGAAATTAATTTCTTTTAACACGAACAAATATATAATCATCTTTTACCATTTTTTTTTTCATGAAATTAATCTCCAATTTTCATGAAGATTAAGCTATCACTAATTTTACCTGAGATTAAAAGATTTCTAATTTTTACCTGAGATTACCTTATCTCCAACTTTTACCTGAGATTAAGTAATCTCCAACTTCTTCATCCAACACTGCTTCCCTGTCTTCCCATTCCCAAACTCCCATAATTCCATCTCCAATCCCCTACAACCAAACAAGTCAGCTGTTTTGTAATTAAATCCAAATTCTTGACAATTTTGCCCCCAATCAAGCATATGCGACACACTTCAAAAGCCAACAGAGTTCAATTCACTTTGAATGGGACCGGTAAAAATGCAAAATGTCCGATGGTTTTTTTTACAGACTTTTTTTATAACAATTACAAATAATCTTAACAAAATCATTTAATTCAATTGTCCTGACAATTAACAAATGCAAAACTAAAGGAAATAAAAAAAACGTCAGGGGCGCGCCAGATTATTCTCGTGCATTCTTCAATAAATTGTTAATCTTATTAAAATATTAATCTCCATAAGCAAGAAAAACAGTTAAAACACTGTCAAACAAATTTTTTCCCTTTAATTATATGCAGCACAGTAAAAAAATGTGACAATCTACTTTCGTTTTGCAAGATTTGAAAGTTGCCTGCTATTTCTGCTTGACTACATTGTAACCATTTATTATTTTCTCTATAATTTAATCTATTAGCATGTACATATTATACCAACTTTTGGATTTTTTTTCCAATTTGATAGCAAAAATACATGCACGTTTTTCCCCTTTGCAAAAAAATCTACTTTAATAATAAAACTGACAAAAATTCACTTAAAATCATAATTTTCATGATAATTTGCATATTTTTATATCATCAGTACATATTTTTAACTGTGTGGAGGTTGTATAATACGTTTTAACTATCAGAAATATCTGAAAATATTAAACAATGTTGCATATTTTATTTAAAAAAATAAAAAAACTCTCAGAAAGGACATAATACCAATAATCTAATACGATGAATAGAATTAATAGAAAATATTTCAATAAATCTAAAAAAAAAATCTGCATTTGCCATCTTTTCATTTACACATATTATTTATTATATCGACAAAATTTCCAAACTCTAATATGTTAAATTTACATACAAAAAATTAATGTTTTACAACTCGTTTTGAATATTTACAGGACAATTGTCCGATATATTTTTGACTAGTTTCGGGAACTCTGAGCCAATGATTTTCAACATCAGCTTAGCAAGATAGCCAGTCATGATATGTAAGTTTTTGCAAAATTACACATATTTTCAATGTGAGGTACCTACATGTACAGTGTATAAATCAATGCATGCAGAAAAGTCTATTATAAACAATCTGACAAAAATACTTATCGGGATTGGTCTTCATCGATATTTAACATAAAAAAGGTTAATTAGGAAAAACATTATCATGCTTTATATTCTTTTATGAGAGGGTTTCAGCAAGTCAAACAGCAAAATTACTGAACACAGTTTACATATTACCATGGTGATGAAGCAGTCATTCAAACACAGTAGGTCAGTTACTAAGGAGTGGACGTCACTAACATTGGTGGAGATAAGTTTCTCCTTCAGCACGGTACGAATCCCGTCTGAAAAAATTATAGATACAATGATACAACGTATGAAGGGTATTAATTACAATATAGTGGTTACAAATGTAAATGTACATATTATTATAAATGTAAGGCATGTACCATCATACTTTCAGATCTATAAAATTGAACCTTGTAAATACATGTAATGGACATGTACACAAATATTTTATTCACAGATGTACAGTATTATACATGCAGAATTCATTACCAACATGAAGTGACACCATTCTAAAGAAAAGATACACTAATATACTTATACATAATTTCTAAAAAATGATAATAAAAAGAGTTTACTTGTTATTAAATCTATCTATACCATAGATATAATATCATCTATACCATGGCTGTACCATAGACATACCCTAGATATAAATAAAGGACCTCACCTCCTCCAGCCAAGAATGTTTCCTTGTTAAAACTCTTCAATATTTTTAGTTCTCCACTGACTGCCAGCACAAATAAATTGTACAAACCTGAAATTATTACAGGCACTTAAAGCATACGTACATGGTATACAATTTGTCTTTGGTAGAATTTTATGATTGACAGTTGTGCATGTACACATTGCAAGAGCATTTCAGAAAGATAAGCATTATAAAAACATGTGTAGAAACTTTATATTTATAACTTTATAACTGAACATTTAGAAAATCATAATTATCGGGCATGTTTAAAGTGTTTTACATCCGCAACTTTCACAATACTGGTTTACAAAATTTATACATCAAATTCCATAGAATTCAGAAATCTGTGCAGTATTAATATAAGAAAATTTTAATCAGGAAAAGTCAGAAGAGAAATTTCGAAAACAAATGCAATAGACAAGTGCTTTCAGGTTGTGTTCAGTGATGTGTGCAATGTTAGCAAATCGAACACACCTGGTAAACATAAACATTAACGACAGAGCTTGAACCCATGTTTACAAACACAAGTGTTGTCTTCAGATATAAAGAATTTTATATATAAATTAAATTATTAACATGAAGTTAAGACATGTAAAATTAATAACAAAATAGCAATGCGAGCACTATATAAAAACACATAGATCTCTCATATTGTTCCTATGAAATAAAAATTAAAGGCAGTTTTCATGGAAGTTATGAAGATAAATACAGATATGAAATTGCACATTACAGATTTCTCTTTAATATTTACATGACTTTGTACATCTAAGACATGGATTACCTTCTCCTGCATCAAAACACTTGATCCGACTAAATGTTTTCCCCATTCTGTTAGGCGGTGTAACAATCTACAACGAAATGAAAGAATTAAATTTATTATTTTTTGAAAGAATAAAATGTTTTCAGTATTCAAATCTGCAATAAAATATGAATTCATTAAATAATGAGTAATGAAATGGCAAATACATGTACACAGTACATGGTTTTTTTTTTGGTAATCTTAATACAGATGCTTTTTGTATTATAGTTCAAACATGTATTTTTTCCAATTGATATCAAGGATATTGTATGGTCAGATTTGTTTATAAAAATGCAATCAAAAGGAAAACAAATATTTTGAGGTTATACATTCAGTAGACATTGTGTACTTACATGAGAGAAGATCATTTTACAGTAGACAGTGTGTACTTACATGAGAGAATTTTACAGACCATTTTACAGAGAGATGATCATTTTATGTGTACTTACATGAGAGAAGATCATTTTACAGTGTGTACTTACATAGAGAGAATATCATGTGTCCACTGTGTAATATGAGAGAAGATCATTTTACAGTAGACAGTGGGTACTTACATGAGAGAAGATCATTTTACAGGTCTCCATGTCCAGAATATGGAGCCCCAGAATCATTAGAACCCCGTCTTCACTCAGGGCCATTTCTTCTATGACAGCATCTGTGTGTACAAAACATTGAAGATGTTACAAAAGTCAAGTCATGAAATTAATAAACCAAAGAACTAAAATATTTGATTTCAAATGTGGAAAAATGATCTTTTAATAAAAATCTTGAATATCTTTTAAAGAACCAACGACCCATAAATTTCTGACATTGATCAAATTGTTGTTTTTTTTAAATTGAAAGAAAATTTGATTTTTGTTTGTTCCTTTTCTTACATTCTTTTTTTTTCTTTTTTGGTTCCTTTTCTTTCATTAAATTTTAGTTTTGAATACCTTCCTTATCAAAATTTGTCTTGACATTTTGACAATATAAAGTGATAATTTTTTAAAATAATATTGTTAGTGACTTTAAAAAGTCACAAATAAGAACTTTTGTACAGCTGAACTGCATGCAGCAGTGCAGTGATGAAGATTTCCAGTCTTTTATCTGCACATTAAAAATAAAATTGATTAAAAACTCAACAGCATCACATTGCTGACACTCAAATCACACAGAGTTAACTCACCATAAGCCAGAGTGGTGGTGTGTTGACAATCGGTGAACACAGAGACATGCCTATCTACAGACAGACAAGCTAATTCTCCTCTCACTGAACTCACGATGTGGGGAACTTCTGCCTCCTACAAAATTAGGACCAAAAATTCAAGTATATTCAACAAATTAAAGTCATTCAATGCGTTAATATGGATTTTTATTGATTATGATTTACATGTTTATCAGTAGTTCTGAAAGAGGGCATTTAAATTTATATGCAGCACAAGTAATGTACATGATATACATATATATAAATACAGAACATTCAACAACAGAAATCATAATTTACTCTTTGGAAAGTCTAACAACACATATTCAATGGAAAGTTTTAATTTGCTTATCTTCACTTGTCACATAATTTAGGAAATAAGCAAGGAATTTATCATAAAAGATTGTAGAAAATCTCTTAAAATGTAAGTAGAAATGACAGACTTGCTGTCTACTTTCATTGGCTTGGCGGATTTTATCTGTCTTCTGACTTTTTGACCACAGCTACCAATAAAACCAAGCGTTAATCAAAAAGTAAGAAGGCAAAATAAAGTGACAAGCTCTCATGTTCCATACTGAAATTAAAACATGACATCATTTCTATGCCTCTAACCTTTTCCTGTGACGATATCGTAGCCAGGGTATCAATCTGGTACAGTGCCGACCCTGACTCCTCTCGCGGACCAAAGTTGACTGTTTCTTCTCCTCCAAAATCGGAACTGACAATATCCCAAGGCATTTTTTCTAAAGAGCTACAGGTGGTAAAATAAATAATGACATGAATAAAAGGTTACGTGTTAGCATTTCAAAAATACAAACACAAGAAATTTACACAAATCCTGTTTTGAGTCTCTTTGGGTAATCTCTTTCTCAAACTATAACTATGTGCACAAATAAATATATTGAGGTTATAGGCAAATATTATGATAAATTATAGACTGTGTGAACTACTATTAGTATCAACGATGAAAAAATGATTAAGGAGCCAGGAGGGGAAAGTGTGGCTCAAACTTGCGACATAAATATTCAAAACACACAATATCAACATCAATGTAGCAGACGGCTTTCTCAAAGTAACGTTGTAAAATAATCTTTTTTGGTTTAAATACAGAAAACATGGCTTATTTGTATATTTTTCTAGTCTGGTACAATACTTTACTTCAATTTTTGTCCACAAATGTCAAAATATTGCTGCACTATACAAAATTCGCGCGCTTTCAAAAACGTTTATTAGTTGAATGAACGATCTATTCGTATTTTCATATAAAGGACAAAGACTTATGTTTTCATATAAATTTTGATTAAAGTAATAAAAATGAAACTAAGAGTTTAAAATGCGAACGTCAAAAGATAGCATTTGTGATAAAAGAAGGAAAACTGACTAAATTGTGAGATTAAAAACAACTCGAATAACGTCATGTTCAAGCTATCATATTTTTTTCAAAATGTCTGCGCCCTTGCGTTTTGGCCGTCAACGTGAAAGATGATGAAAACTTCAATGAGAAGTTAATTATAGAAACAATGTCAAAATTAATTCAAGTGCCATCAAAGAAATGGCTGAAATACAAGTGGTGTGGTGTGATTAAACGATTTCAATCAGCTGCGTCAACATCTGTGAATCTTGGAAACGGGTAATATCATTCTTAGAGAAAATTCTGGCTGATGTTATCATGCGGTGTATGAGCTAAACCACATGACGTTAATTTTTGCAAATAAGTTTTTATATTGCTTCAAATATAATAAGTGAATGAGAAGTTAACTTACACTTAATAAGTGAATGATTGATTCATGGTAATGCTTATAGAACATTTAGAAGGTCTTGTGCAGTAGGGAGTTCAAGATTAAATTTTGATTGGCAATTTAGTGAATTTACATTTGAAACGTTGATCCCATTCTGCATAGTATGAAGTCCATCAAAAGGTTGAAAGTAGAAAGCTATGGGCAGTGATGTAAATAACAATGTTTCTTGAAAAATTGAAAATTGGTGACTTAATACTGTATTTCCTTTCTTTTCTGTTGTTTAGAACACTTACAATAGAAACAGGGAAACTGGCCAAATTTGCAGATGGTGCAGCAGTTATAAAGGTATAGAAGTATCATATGATCTGCAGATTTTGTAAATTTCCATTTACCTAGAATATTTATTGTTAATCACTTTTTGAGAACGTTGAATTACAAACAGTTTATCCTTTTTATCGATTTTTTTCAGCAAGGTGAAACCAGTGTTCTTGTGACAGCAGTGACAAAAAATTTATCTCAGCCATCTTCATTTCTTCCTCTAACTGTGAGTGTGTCCAGTACGTCACTATTATATCATGTATAAGACTGACCCTTCTGATACCTATATACAGTAAAATATGCTGTGGGTTTCATACACCTTAGCTCTTAGTTAAACACTGTGAACTCAATGTCACTATTATGAGATTGGTCGTTCATTTATTGTAATGTCATAATTGAGCTAAATATCTTTGTAACAAGCATTTAAAGTTTATGAATAATGAAAATTTTTTACTAAATTTTCCCAAGAAACATGAATTGAAGGGGGGGGAAGAATCTTTCTAAAATATGTATGAAAGCTTTTATTGGATTATCTGCAGATCTGTAGCATTATGATTTTATATATTTGTTTTTGACCATATTAAATGCTACAGATCCCGTAATGCAAAAAAAGGTGCAGTATACAACGCAATATTATTTGCGCAAAGTGCATTGTAAATTTTACATATATCATGTTCACCAAATCAACTGCAACCTGATATAAAATTTATTTTTTTTTGTCACTGGATAAATAGTTACAGTAAGAGACTTCTTCATGGTTTATTTAACTTTCCATATAATGCTTGTATATTACAGGTGGATTACAGACTGAAAGCAGCAGCAGCTGGGAGGATTCCTATGAACTATTTCCGTCGAGAGCGGGGTCCATCAGAGAGTGAAATCCTTACCAGTCGTGTTGTAGGTGGGTAATTTAAACAATATTTTATTCACTGATCTTAGGGTGAATAGGAGTTGGCAGCAGGCTTGATCATCCTATTTTCGCCCTCTCCCTATTGTAGGTGGGTAAAAATGTACAAATATCATAAAACAGACATACAACATCATGTTTTTGATTATATAAAAAAAAATTTTAATTTAGATAAATTTTGGTGTGGAAGGTTAAAAGCACTCATTAACTATTCTAATTTTGCAGATCGATCAATAAGACCTCTTTTTCCAGATGAAAGTAGCAGGGAAATTCAGGTACACATTGTTTACAATTTGAATTTTTTAAGCCTTAGTATACCTGGTATGTTAACTGTTAAAGAAGAATTTTGCATTTTATTTATTTATGTATGAGCTTAAATTTTATTTATTTTTCATGCCTATTGTTTACAATTTCTCACTAGGTGTGTTGTAATGTACTAGCAGTTGATGGAGAAAATGATCCCACGATTCTCAGCATCAATGCAGGTACTTGTACATCATTCATGTTTTCTTCAATCACTAGATAAATTATTTATTCACCATTGTGAAAAAAGTTGGAGCAAGTCAAATTTATAGTAAACGAACAGGTATGTTAACTTAATAATTCTCTGAAATGTTTAGCAATACAACATGTATTTCTAATTTTGATGTGAGAATATCGAATTGTTTTCATATTATTATATATTTCATTTTATGGTTTATTTTTTATTATGGTGTCATATATTTTTTTTATTTTTGTATATTTTATTTATTGTATATTTCATTTTATTGTATGTTTTATTTATTGTATATTTCCTTTTATTTTATATTTTATTTATTGTATATTTCATTTTATTGTATATGTTACATGTATTTATTGCATATTTCCTTTTATAGTATATTTTATTTATTGTATATTTCCTTTTATTGTATACTTTACATGTATTTATTGTATATTTTCTTTTATTGTATACAGCATCAGCTGCCATAGCCGTGTCCTCCGTACAGTATCAATGGAACGGTCCTGTAGGTATGTAGGTTTCCTTTTTGTCTATTTATAAAATATTAATCAACTAACTTCACAGATGCTTTAGGACAAATTGTTTTTTAAAACTAATAATCTTTACTTTTTATTATTTTTTTCATCCATCTTGTGATAATTAAAATGGAGATACTCAAGTGCACAAATACATACGTTTGACCTGTATTGAATTCTTTGTAAAATGTTTGATTCTTCTTTCTTGCAGGGGCTGTCAGGGTTGGATATGTGGATGATAAATTTGTAATAAATCCACTTCGCCATGAGCTGGAGCAGAGTAAAATCAACCTCGTGGTAACGTCCAGTAAACAAGGAATCGGTAAACTCATTGACCATGAAACCAGAGGCCTGTTTAACAGAGCAAGCATTTGCAAGCGCTTGCCAAATTCCTTAAACCTCCGATAAAAATGTTCCTGAGCGCTCTCGTTATTGAACAGGCCTCAGGTGCTACAAAAAAAATTCAGGAACTCATTACTAATCCAGTTAAAAGGGAATGGGTAAACACACTTACAATGACACTACACTACAGAAAAATTAACTAGGGACCAAATGTCTACATCCAGTTAATTAACAGGGAAAAGGTTATACCCGGGTACAAAATATCCCTTGTTATGTACTCAAAATATCAGTGATTTAGATACTAGTAACTAAGGCCATGCAAAGTTAATTCCTTGGTTATCAGGCCTTTTTTTCAAGAAATATGATGAGGAAGGGGGGCATTTTTTTTTTTACTTTTTTATTGCCTTCAAAATATGATAAGGCAGCTTATTACATTGTAAAAACCTCAAAAAATGATGAGGGAGGTGATTTGTTGTTTTATTTTTATTGATTTAGCAACAAAAAGGGTCAATGAAGCCCCCTTGGAAAAGATGAGGGAGAGCCTGAGAACCTAGAAATTAATTTTTTATGGCCTAATTTGAGTTGTTTGTAATCCTTAAACATGTAGTGGTTTGTATGTATGTGTTTTGATTGACATTAATATGGATAGAAAATCCTAAATAATGTATTTTTTTTAACAGTTATGTTGGAGGGCGGTGCCAATGCCATTGATTACGATTTGTTTAAGGAAGCCATTAAGGTCGGTTACGAAGAGTCATTTAATATCATCGACAGTATCGAGGATCTGAGAAAAACGGCCTGCGAAAATAAGTATATACCTAAACGTCTACCTCCCAGATTTCAGGATACAGAAATACAGGAAGCTGTCTACAGGTATTTTAAAATTGATATGTGGATTAAGAGAATTGAAAATTTGTCTGTGTTTTTCATCCATATTTTCAAAAAGCAGTCATTTTTATCTGAATGAATTTTAATTAAGAGGAATCTTAGAAAACATTTTGAAATTAGGAATTTTTTTGGTGGGGGGAGATAAACACATTTTCTAGGGGAAACTGTCTATAATAGGCTTTGCTTTTGAAAGACACTGAAGGAATTTATTTTAATTTTCAGGTTGTACAACACAAAGTTGACTGCAGTGTTTACAGATTATAATCATGATAAGGTATTGTAGCCAATTGTTTTAGAAAGAATTCAACATAATTATACACTGGAGATAGAAATTAACAGAATTCGGAAAAGATCACGTTAAATTGGGTCAATTTTGATTGAAACTTGTCCATTATATGCTTGTCTTTAGACAATGTAAACTTTTAAAAGTGAGACTACTCAGAAATTTTAAAATAATGATGTTAATTAATGAATATTGTTGATCCATAGGATATATATCAACAATTTTAATAAAGTTAGACCTTTATTTACGCTATATCACATAGAGGTGAAATTTAACCCTTAAACACCCTGGTCAACAATGTTTTTTTCGCAGGATAACAATTTCACACGTTATGCTTAAAATATGTCTTTTTTTTTTTTAAGGTTACACTTTCGTATTTTTTTTTCCAGTTTTCAAGAGATTTGGCTGTAAAGAATGTTGTCAATAGTGTGATGAATGAATTAAAAGGTAGTATACGAAATCTGAGTCTGATTTCAGTTTGAGAGTTGTCACATTTTAGAATTTAAGACGTTGTATTCCACAATCCATTCTTTGGTGAAAGGAATTTGGATTCATTCAAATGAAGAGCCACGCTTTCTTACAAAAAATACCCATCATGCAAAGTACTTACTGCCATGCTTCAGATCTTCTCTCTCAAGATGAAAGTTTTACTGATAAAATCATTTCATTTTTGGTGTTTTAGATCTTTATCCCTCCATGACAGAAGATGATTTAAATCAGTACATTCAGAAGTGTATTAAACAAGTCTTCAGGGAGAGTATCTTTACCACAGGAAAAAGGTATTTTATTCTTTGTATTGAAAATCAAATTCTTAAAAGTACCTTTAGTTAGATATACAATATTGAAAATACCTCCAATATAAATTCTTTTACAAAATAAAATAAATTTTTCATATCTGAATCACTTTTAAAAATGTTAGTTTATTGGGGCTAAAATTGACTTTAATCACATATATAGTCTTTTGTCCATGAAAAGCCACATTCTCTTCAAAGAAAGAAAATTAAGAAATGTTAAAAATTGGGTGGGATCAGAAGTTTTTTTTTCTTCAATTTATGAACTGAAAGGGTAGGGCTGGGCCACAATATGTATTATGTATAAATTGTATATGTGTTGTATATGTATCTGTGGCCTCTTTAACATGAAATTCAACCTTAATATCTTAAATACCTTTGAATTTATTTTTCCCATCGAAGTTAAGATAATGAGGTTTGATTGTGTACAATTTACTATTAATTGATTAATTGTCATTATGCTTATGATATCTTTGTTTACAACCTGACCAGGTGTGATGGCAGAAGTTTAACACAGCTCAGAAACATTTCCTGTAGCGTAGACGTCCTCAAACCCCTGCATGGATCCTCTCTTTTCCAGAGGGGTCAAACACAGGTCAGTTACAAAAACTACAATATCATGTGTGCTCTTTAGAAACGGTCCCTTTCTACTCTCATTTTTTTCCAGTCTGAGGGATATTTTTATGAAAAAGACATTCCTACAATGAATTTGGGATGGTATATGGGAATTACTATGGCAGTCTTTGTGTCAAAACTTGGTGATGACTTCTCTCTTTCAATATAATCCGCTAAAAGAAAAAATAATTGTGTGTCAAACATTACACATACCACAAACACGTTTTAAATCTGTTCTAATCTGTTCTTTAGGTTCTGTGCACCATGGCTTATGATTCTTTAGACATGTCCTTAAAGTTTGATCCTGTTGCACAGCTCATCAGGTAATGTTGTTATTTCATGTATTAAAGTTCATTGTCTCTCTAATAAGAGAGATTATAACTCACTGGGATCAATCAATACTTTACTACAAGGGGTTAATTATCAAAAAGTTCTTGGACTAGAGCCATAAAATTAAAACCGCTTTGGTTACATCCATGAAATTTGAAATACATGTATCTATTCAGCATCATCTTTTCTATCTAAAGAATAAACCATAAATCATAAATTTTAATTTTCAATAATTAAGTAATGTTTTTGTAAGCAATGGTATGTCCAGTCGCAACCTCCAACACGACATTTTTGCGACCTATGTGAGACAGAGAAAAACTCTTATGATATGATTATTTGACATACAAAAGTCCCATTAATTCAGGTGTGTGTTGGGACACAATTGTTTCATAAAATATGAAATTTTTAATTCATTCTGGAAATTCTATGAAATTTTATCATAAATTTTATGTGAAGTATCCAAACAAATAAGGCCTTGAAAATGACGTCAAAAGGGGGGAGGGGTTTCCTTTTCCAACATTCTATAAGGTTTTGCCCCTGAAAAAAACTGGTATAGACCAAAGAAATGTTTAAACTGGCTACAAAGAAATAGCACTTGTCCTTTAATGTCAAAATAGATTTGGAGAGAAAAGGAATGTACAGTTAATGTCGATTTGTAATCAAGGTATGAACAAATCAAACACGTCAAAAAATGACGTTGATCATGTGTTGTTGATATTGAATTGCCAAAAGCAAAATATGCTGGCACAATCAAGTGAGGATCTCTCCCAATGTATAAATCCATTTGGAATTTTATATTCATTGAAAGCCGCTGTTCATGACATTGTAAAGTCGGGTTTTTATCCTTACTCAGCTCCAGGAAATCTCGTCAAAATAAGTGTATATGAGGTAGAAGAAGCAGACATTGAAAAACAATGACGTAGTCGGACGTCATGATACTAAACAGTGAAAGCGCCAGTGATCATATACTGTTGTTTTAATTTTATAATGATTTGGCAAATAATAAATGTATCAAGCTAAAATTTTCAACATTTCTTTATTGTTTGTTGTTTTATGTTCCATATAAAATTTTAAGTCACAGACTACATAGTTCAAATTTTATAGCGTCAGTCCACGAACTTTTTGATAACCCCTCGTAAGTGTATTATGAAATCTGTTTTGTTTTTCAAAATAGCTTCCAGGCAATATTTTCGAGTAAAATTTAAATGAAATCTGTGCCTATGTATTGAGCTATTCCAAGATCATTTGTAAATTTACAAGGGGCAAAACAATCTAGCAAGACATTCATAAATCTGCTTCAATCCACAATTGTTTTGATGAAAGTAGGGATAATAATAATACCCACACCTGTGTTTCTTTATATGTTTCGTTCAAAGTGAAATTAGGTTGACAAACAAGTAACATGTAGTCTATAGTGTATTTGATAAAAAGAATTCAAAACTAGTCTTCAGAAAATTGATTGTAATATTGTTATACCCCCCGCAAACGAAGTTTAGGGGGGGGGGGGGTATATTGGAATCACCATGTCCGTCTGTCTGTAGACAAGATTTTGTCTGGACCATTACTCAGAAACTATTGGAAGGAGTTGTCTGAAAATTTATACACATATTATTCACCATATGAAGTTGTGCACCTGAAATTTTCATTTTGATTTGATTATTATTTTGAATTTTACAGGTGTTTTTTCATTTTTATTTTGTGGTTTTGTCCGGACCGTTTCTCAGAAACTATTGCAAGGATTAATCTGAAAATTTGTACACTTATTATTCACCATATGAAGGTGTGCACCTGGAATTTTCAACTCTTTTTGTTCATTTTTATGCATTTTACAGGTTTTATTTTTTATTTTAATTGACTTGTTCATTTTGGGCTCATGTATAAGGTTTGAGACATAGAATCTAGAATATCTGTACAAAAACGTTAACTACAGCTTAAAACTACTCATAAAAACTGAAAAAAAAGAAACATCATCAAGTGTTAAAAACATTTTTTCATTGCACAGAAGATAATGTAATTTCATTTGTTTCTTGGGAATAATGACTGGACATGCATCCAGTTAAAGATAAATTAATGAGTTTGGTGTGGGAAGTTGAACATTAAGGTATCTCATTATGAACCATATGTTATCTCCTGGGAATCGGGCACAAGAATTAACTCTTCTCTTATTTTCTTAATTGTAATTTATTGTCTGTCAAAGCACTTCATTACTGGATGACCAGCTCTTTATTTTCAAAATGAATTTGATATAAAAATTATCAAGATTAATTTGGTTTTATAAAATATGATTTTTTTTCAACAATCAGTTTGCAGAGTGACATAACACATAATTGCAATGTATTTTTAAATGCAGAAATAAAAAGATAAAATAAAAAAATAATGTTACAATAGAATTACAATGTATTAGTATTGATGTTTCATTTGGTTGCACCTTTGTTTCATTCATTAAGAAACATGATGAGCATGCAATTATATTTCACTGCAAATTTTGTAAGTAAATTATGAACACCTCTAGATCCATAAAGTATTTTTGAATTGGCACCTTCTCTGAAAAACCCAGCGGGGGGTATTTGTCCCTACTGGACAGTTCTAGTTTTATATGGTACAACTACGGTTTCATGTTCTCATTTCTTTTTTCTAGTGGTGCAAAGGAAAAGAATTTTATGTTACATTATGAGGCAAGTAAAAGAATATTATGTTTTACATGTAGATTATGTTAATCCATGACTTAAGTGAGCTTTTTAGCTCTACTGGTCATAGACCAAAAGAGCTTATGCCATAGAAAGGTGTCCATCGTCCATCTGTCTGTCTATAATTTTTTTTGAATTGACAATGCACGACCAAAAGATGGCGCGAATAATAGTTGGTTCACAGTATTCTTTTATTGGTGTTGATTTCAAGGAATGGTGCTGCCGTGGTTACTACAAATAGAATTTCCTTGAAATACTTTCAAAATCCTACTCCTTCTACAGTTTTGGTCCGCAGATTTCAATGTAATTTGGCTATTTACGAGTCGTGTTCAGCTTTAACCAATGTATTCATTCAACTTCAGGGAATCATCTGCATTTTCAACTTTAAGGTGTTAGTTTGCAGTTTTTCTTTGTTTTGTACATGTACAGCAAAACTCGGTTATAACGAAGTCGCTTGGACCTTTGAAACTACTTCCCTATATCCGTATTTCGTTATAAACGTATAAGAAATTCATTAAATTTATAAAGTGGGTGATCCAAATGACGTCGCTATATCTATGAATTTGCAATGTCCGTGTTCAGAGTTTTACTGTATTAGTTATTTTGAACATATATTATTGCATAATTCATGCAAAAAGAATTGGTAACTAGTTCTTGCAACTTAGAAAAACCTTTCCCTGTATTAGTTAGAAATGACATGTGTGATACATGTATATATAGTTGCTTCATGTATTTCTGATCAGTAATCACCTGTTGTTTGGCTTCTGTTTGTCTGCCACAGAAACGGTCATAATTTTTGACTGAGAGAAGTTATAAATTTAATGGTTCACTTATACAGTGGTGGATTTAAGGGGGGGGGGGGGGGGGGCACACCCTTCGTGCGCCCCCCCCCCCCCCCCGCTAAAATTGTCAAAATTTACGTTTCGTCTAGAAAATGTAAATATGTATACTTGATAGACCTCATTTTTACCCTACAAAATTCTGGAATCCAGGAGCTTCCGGGGCTTTGCCCCCTGGGCCCCCAACAGGGCTTTGCAGACCCCTTGCCTACTTTTGGCGCCCCCTCTAACTTCAATTCCTGGATCCGTGCCTGTTATAAATGCATTATCGGTATCTGTGTTATAACTTTTCCAACGTACTGTAATTTGTAAGCATATGACTTTCACATTTAAGTTTTACCTACTTTTAAAAACAGCTAATTCAGTGAATCTGTATCCCCCACTTACAGAAAAAAAAGCGCATGAGCAGATCTAGAGCATGTTGGTTGAGGGAAAAGGGACACTCGTTTCCATGCAATATCTCAAGAAGACTTTAAGATTTTGCAGTGAAATTTTAAAATACAACTTCCAATGGCCTAAAAAACAATCCATTTATTATTAGGTCAAAAGGTTAAAGGCCAAGGTTGTAAATTCATAGATTCTGTTTGTGTGTAAAATTTTCATTTGTGATCTGACCTTTCTAACTCTGCTGATTTTTTACTAATACGAGGGTTGTTCGAAAATTATTGAGACATTGCGTGTATTTTGCTTTCTAATGAATGTCTTTCAATGAAAATTGGCATATGCGTTAGACATACACTAAAAATTAATAAGAGCAAGAAATATTTTACAAATATTAAAAATTTTCTCTACAATGGTTTATAAATGTGTTAATAATAGGGGTGCCCGGAGCAGTCGTGGAATCAGATATTGAAAATTTGTAACCCCAAAATTCTAACTCTTTGTGGATCAATAATGAGAGTGAAAATAATTCAGTTTAAGTGTATAAATTTTCAGCTTTGGTTCAAATTCATGTTGTGCAACTTTGATAGAATTTTTATCAAAAATACGGAGATCATAAAAAATTAAGCGCAATATAGAAATCTGCTAACAACAAAAGAATGGATTTTGACTTCAAGGGCGGAGCAGCCAGCATACCTAAAATTTTGTGTAGCGTTATGCAGAACTCTTTTCAAGACTGAACGACCTGCTAAAACAATAACAACGAGAAAAAAAAATTTTGTGTTAGGGTTTGTTATTTCATTGGTATACATTTTTTTAGCAATTAATTTAACAAGAGTAAAATTAAAAGATCTGGATGACCATGAGTTTTTACATACAGTATTGATATCGTTACGGTATTTAACCCGCGTTGCATAAATTGGCACTGCATGATTCTAAATCATCCTTTCCCATAAATGAAATTTTTTGACTGGGGTAGCAACAGCATACATTTTTAAAGAATAGTTTAAGAAAAGAGACTGTTTGATTTTTGTAATGTTATATACAACTGTATGTAATAACAAAGAAGAGTATTAAACGCTTCCCGATCGTTTCACATGCGAAACAATCTACGGCTAACGTAACGTTAAATGACGTAGCGAGGCTGCTCCGGGTAGATTGACATATGCATATTTATTACTTCACGGAAACTTATATAATTATCGCAGGAATTAGAAAATTTGCTTAAGTGTTTTACTCGTTCTTTATAAGATGTTGGTAAACTTTTATGAAATTATCTCCGTCCTTTATGGAGTAAATGCAATTGTCTCAATAATTTCCGAACAACCCTCGTATACATACCTCAAGTGCTTGACATTCAAAAACTTATTTTGACTATAATAACTTTTTTATTGATGGTCAGACTAGACATTTGCAATATGCCATAAATTATTGCACAAAAAACCCCCAGAACTCAAAAGCTAGTGGCCAATGTTTATCACCACTTGCTTCTCATACAAATTTTCGTTACAAAAATTTCTTGATTAAATAATAATGATTCCACCGAATAACCCCTTCATGCTTTCCAAAAAAAGTTTCTTGTACCAGGCATGTGTTTACTTTTGATTTTATACAAGATAATATTATTTAAAAAAAACAAGCCAAATGAACAAACTTTTTAAAATGTTTTTTGATCAAAATACATGTACATGTTTCATACAAAATATTGAATCTGATGACTGCAACCTCACCTTTACAAAATATACATTATAGCAATGGATTTCATGTTGATTTTTTTTTTTTGAAGATTTTGTTTCTTAGTTATGCTATTAATAGATACAGTTGTGTTTGCAAAGTGGACTATTAATAGTCTGTTGTGCTTATAAATTTGAGCAAAAATGATATGTATTATTTAATTCTATGCAATCTTGGATTTCACTGAAGATATTTTATTTTCTTCACATGTATGTTTGCCAATTGGGCAACAAACAGATTGTCATTTGTATCTGTACACAGTCCCCAGGGATTACTCAGTCCACAGTTTATGTAACGAAGGAACTGTCCATCCTGGTCTATGACGTGGACACAATCATTGTTAAAATCAGCTGTAAGGATGTGACTCTGACTGTCTGTGGTGATTCCTCGTGGATTGAATGGTTTGTTTTTTGGAGCAGGAGTATGTCCAGTGTACCTGAATCTTAGTTTTCCAGCCTGATTGACCACCACTACTGCTTTAGCTCCCTCATCAGACACGCAGATATCTTGGTTCCTGTTCTCAGTAATGTATCTGCTATATTCATAACTAACTGAATAGAGTGGTTTACCTTTATCTTCAAACTGAATGCTTTGTTTTTCTGTGGAGCCAGAGTAACAGACAACTTTCGTTTGTTTGTCATCATCACTGTTCATGATAACCAGGAGGTCACCAGAGGAGGTACTACAGACACCTTTAGGTTTCCAGTTCTGTAGTCTGATCACCTCCTCTATCTTCTCATTCTTCACAATGTTCACAGTTCTATAAATGTTATCAGTATAAACTAGATCTCCACTTTTTGTCACTGTTAAGTTAGATGGTACGTACCCTGACTTGGTTCTGATTGACTTCAGCAGTGATCCCTGATTGATATTGTAGAGTTTCATATTGTTGTCAGATTCACATGTCCAGATTTCTTCATCACTCAGACAGGCCACATTGGCAAGGTTTTCACACCCAGTGTCTATGGTGGTGACAGTCTCTGGTTCATCAAGCAGCTGTTTGACTGGAGGAGAGGATCCAGCTTCTGGTGATTTCTGTGTTGTCTTCATGTTGTAGCCATGTTTATCTGATGTTAAAGAACTTGATGATAAGGCTCCAAACAGTTTATTAAGTTCTTTTCCTTGGATTCTTTCTGGATTGAATTTAGGTAAAGATGGTATAATTTTGTGTGGAAGATTTCTGTATGTATGTACATTAGGCATAACATTGAACAGTTTTGACAAGTCATTGGTGTCTATTGCAATTTCCATCAAATCAATTTCATTCTTGATGTCAGACATTGTCTTGTTAATGTCATCTAAATGTTTCTGTAAAGTTTGTAACTGTGTGTTTTTCATAACATCAAGTTCAGCTTTAAGTTTCTGGACAAGTTTGTCAATTTCTTTGTGCCAGTCCTCTCCATGTTTTGTTATGGTTGTTGAGAGATCTCCATATTCCTTTTCTAACTCACTCATTCTGTTTTGTACATCAGAGGCAATGTCCTGGTAGGCTGGATAAATTGTATCATTTAATTGGGTGTATTCTTTTATGAATTTATCCTTTTTATCATCCACGACTTTCAAGATTTCTGATACCTTATGACCTATATGTTGATCAGATCCAATGCACTTTGGGCAGACAGGAATGTCACAATGATTACAGTACATTGAGCATTGTTCTCTATCATGAGTTTTACATCCAGGGTGGAGGGGAGTGGATTTTCTATCTTTGAAGTCCACAATCTTATGAGGTTTTGAGAGATCAGCAGAGACGTGCTCTCCCACACAGGCCTTACACAGGTTGGCAAGACATGTATCACAGTGCATCTGTACCACAGCGGTCTCACACAGGTCACATCGCATCACGTCCTGGGCACTGGTACGGGTGTCCATGGTCTAATTTGTGACTCTGAATTAGAAATATATAGATGTATACGTATATGTGTTACAAAAAAGGAGGAAATGTATGGCTGGACTAGGAATTGAACCGGGGACCTCTGTATCACTAGTTTAAAAGTGCTATACCAACTGAGCTATCCAGGCCAGTATCCTAGG